CCAGTGTTAAAACTTCATTAATAAACGAAATAGAAACAGCAATTTTTGGTGCAAAAACAGCCCCAGAAAGAGATTATTTGACAACTTTCCAGTGAGGTCATTGTGACATTTGATAACAGCTCTTACTTATCCCGTGAAACCATCCCGTGTCTACAGGTGGAACGTGCGTGTGTGACCTCTAGCCTGTCTACTTGGGGTGTAAACCGGGGGTCTCCTGGGCACAGTGTGGGTCCCTGCTGCAGGGCTCCACCACTCAGATTCTCCACCAGACCAAGGGAGGTGCTAGTGACAGGAAGCCCAGAGTGTAGAAAACTCACCTTAATGACACCCTACTTACTGTCACTCACCCTCACAAGAGTCCTGAGAGGCGAGCAGAGCAAACGTCACCATCCCCAGATGAAGTCATAGATGGAAAGTGACAGTGACAAGTGCAGGGTCACTGCTGGACAGTGACAAACCAGGACAAGATGCAGGTCTCAATTCCCAAGCCATCATCTTAGCTCTACTGCAGAATTTTCCTTCGGTCGGTGATAGATTCAGTACAGGAGGGACAAGTCCACCAGCATGGAAGCTCTTACCTGACTGCCGCGTCCCACCTACTCACTGGGTCCTTAGTACTCCCCGTTTCCACAGCTCGTGCTGCCTGACGCTGCCTGACGTCCCCGGCATCCTCACCGCTGACTCGGGGGCTCTTGTCCTGCATGCCTGGGTCCCTCTGCCCCCACCTGCTCGGCTTTATGCTGTTATGTTCTTTCCCAGACTCACTTCTACCACTTGTTCTTATGATTTAAATACCCCATAAGCTGATAAAATACACGTGCCACCAAGTCTGAGGTAAGGTCAATCTTCGGAAAGACTCGATACAAGGGAGTTGTTACAAAAACTCCTGTGGACTTCGATGTGGGAGACGCAGCTGTAAGCTGAGTAAATAGCTGGAGGCTAGGCTTCCGCTCTCAGACCACTCAGGAGGTGTTTGAAACATCTAATCTCAATCTAGAAGTCACAGGAGGCATGTGAATGTGCTTTACGCAAAAGAGAAAGGGAACAACTCCATTCAGTTGGACCCAAATTTGAAGGAAAGACCTTGACTTACATCAGAGATTTCTATAACTTCAAGAATCACACTACTGAAAGTTAAAAGAAAATGTTTAAGGTGTGTATGTATTTTCTCATGATTCTTTATCGTAACTGACTTTTTTGATTAATGACCAGCTGCTGGTCCCCAGTGAACTGGTAAGATAAGAGGGCTCTGGGGGGAGGGTATGGCTCAGTGGTAGAGCATGTGCTTTGCATGCATGAGGTCTTGGGTTCAATCCCCAGTAGCTCTATTAAATAAATAAATAAATAAATAAACCTAATTACCTCCCCCCTACCAAAAAAGAGGACTCCACTGTATCTAATCTATTTTAGGGTGGCTGATCCCATGCAGTCTGATCAGGGAACTGCCAGATAATTCTCCAAAGTCTTGTTGAGCTAGAAAGCAAGGTGCTCTAACACACTGGGCTCTCAGCAAAAGGATGCAGAAGCCAGCTTGAAGGGGTTCCTGTTAGCCAAGTCTGGAACAGTTTAAGTACCAAAAGGAATAGGAATGAAAACAGTAAAGACTATAGTGGATTATACTACTGTTTTTAAAATCCATGACTCCACAGTGATTTTTAAAAAATAGACAGGAAAGGGGATAGAAATAAAGCTCTTTACAGAAAAATGTCAGCTAATAAACGATCATGGAAAACAACATTAAAGGCTGACGTGTGAGAACAGTGCGGTGGTGAGGAAGTAGAATGTACTTGTTCTGGGGAGATGCATGCTGAATATTTAAGGGTAAAGGGTTCGGAGGCAGGCCACATATTCAAATGGTTCAGGATCAGAGAGAAAGAAAGCGAAAAATATTGACAAACGTTGAATCTAGTTAGAGGTAAAGAGGTGTTCATTGTTCTCAGTTTTCTGTATGTCAAAAAAAATTCTTCAAATAGAATGTTGTCAAAAGAAAAACAAATTTAAAGAAAGAATGAAAACTGCAAGTTTGCTCACCTTACGTGAGTCATGATTTCCCAGGTTCCCAAAACGGGGAAAGTGATTGGGAGAGTAGGAGAAACAGACAGCTGCCCACATTCGCCCTTTTCATACATCTGAACAGAAGGGCTGTTTGGAGAGAAGCTCTTTGTAAAGAAACGTCCCTCTCTGGCAGCGAGCGCCCGGCCCCACACCTGGGGCTGGAGGCTCTGACTCCTGAAGGCCCAAAAGGCTGGTTCTGTGGTTTTCACACAGCTGCGTCCTCTACTCACAGGGTTTTCCTTGCAGTCTTCGCTCAGCATCTCCGGGGCGATCCAGCCTTCTGTACCGGGCACCCCTGAACGGCGGCTGAAGCTGTGCCTGCCCACTGCCAGCTTCTTGCAGAGGCCGAAGTCGGAGATCATGGCCTTGATCCTGCCATGTGCATTGGGCATGGAGAGGAGGATGTTGTGGGGCTTCAGGTCTCTGTGAACTAATGCAGAACTCCACGTCAGCCTGGTGTTTGGCCTCCTTCTGTAACGGGGATGTGCCCTCCCCGGACCCAGGTTTTGGTTTTCAAATGGGTTAAATCCCCCTTAAGTTCTTACACAAATGGGACACCAGCAATGTAGCCAAGAGCTTCGACAGAGGCAAGGCCCACCTGAGCAAGTCACTACCCGACCTGGGCCACAGCCTTGGTAAGGGCAGGCCTCTCACCGATGTTGAGGGAGTGCAGGTGTGCCAGGCCCGACGTAGTCTGCTGCAGCAGGGTGATGGGCTCCAGGCCGAGGTGGGCGAAGTCCTTCTGCTCAACGTACTGCAAGAGACACAGAGGCTGGGTCACGGCACCCTAGCACACCCCTTTCTCTCCCTTCTTTTTAAGTGATTCCATTTTATTCAGAAAAATCCTG